CCGTCGATTCTCAATCTCACAACGTTTTGGCTGCCGCCATTCTTCTCGTTCAAAATACTTATCACAGTCATCTTTTGGCTCTGTTGTAAATCTGGTGTGTGTATCCAGGCACAGACGGTAAAGTGTGTAATCCACTGTTTATTTATATCGTGTTTCACATAGCTCGTATGTTGAGTTTTTCTGAATATAAGCTCAAAGTCATAGTCATTTCCATTTTGAGGTTCTCCATTGCCTCTATCAAGACTTGCAACAGTTGCTACGAAATAGAAAACAAGTACAACTGTTACATTAAAATTGGGAAGTTTATGACCACACTCTTTGCTACTTCGCTTTTTTCAGCCATCGTTTTTTAAGATTTAATTGAGCTGAGATTTAACGATATTTCCGTAAAATAAATCGTAAATTGGTCTCTTCGTATTCCTTAGTAGGCCCCAGACCTCACTCCTCTCAGGAAACAACTGCACCGCAAACTAATATTAATAAGAGGTTTGTGTTAGAAATCGGATGTTTTAAAAACTGCACATTCTTGACATTTTATTGGCGTTTCTTATTTTGTTAGGGAAAAAGCGGCCTTTGGCCATTGTAATGGCATCATAAGGAATGACAGGTTGAGTTCGTGGGATATCTTTACAGTGGAAAAAGTGCATAGGAAAAATGAAGTTTACTATACTCACGGGATGCGTCCGTACTCTGCGCGACGGCTGTTGATTCTGAACAGTTTTTGCCTGTGAATGTATTCGTACAGTTGCATTTGTAGGTTTTTGTACTGGGTACTTCTATGCACGTTCCACCGTTTTTACAAGGATTAGCGTCACAATCTGATGGATAAAATAAAAGTGTATTGTAAGTGGTGAAAACTTCTACAGGTGAATTTTATAGTGAATCGATGTAAAGTAAGATGTAACTTGATAAATCATTGCGATTGATATTTATTTATTTTCGTCATCGTCATACTGATCGTCATCAGTCCTGGCCGCATCCCCTCTTTTGAGATGGAAAAATCGTGGGAGCCATAAAGCCTTTACACCCTATCATTAATATGCTTTAGTTTTCTCTATATAATAGACAAGAGAGAATTGGTTGAATAATCAAGAACTTCTCAAGTTCTGGATGAGGGTCCCCAATAGGTTTTGCGGGATCTGGGATTGGGGTTATTTAAAGGCTTGGATCCGGGAATTTAAAGTAAGAGGGGAGCGAGATGCGGGATTGCTATTATGAACAGGACACGGAAATCGGCGATTTTGAGGAGCGGGATTTGGGAAACAATCACCTAAATTAAGCGAGAACCGGGATGTCAGTTGACGAGGATTTATGAAGAAATTGATCTTCTCACTCCATGAAAAGTACCAGGCGTAAAGGTTGTCTAGCATTTAGGAGGCGGTCGGGCTGTTCAGCGACAGTCTACAGATATTGCGCTAGAAAGACAATTATATCCTGAGAAGTGAAGTTGCCAATTTACCAAAAACCCTCAACGGCCCACAAGGTGACGTGGCATCTAAGACTGCTGCGTCAGTTGAAAAGCTTAACGGCCTTGAAAAACCACCAGCAAGTCTAAGAATCATACCGACATGACGCTCTTAACCTGTTAAGTTGTATGACACTAAACGTGAAGAATAATCACTCGGTTTTGCATCACAAAGGTACACTTTTCACGGTGTTAGATTACTCAAGAAACTTTGGAAATGCAGCCAAAGAGGGGGTAAAGAGGACAACCCATTTGGCGACGTACTATTTTACAAATCCGTATTCTTGGTATCCTGTACCCGAACGTGCCATGATCCTGTTGGCCATACCAGCAATTCAACTCTTAACACCTGTACCGATGGCACCACAGAGCATACAGAAGATGAGGGACTGGGCGCTAACAACGATGGCAAGAGCTGGAACTTTTCTGTCTTATCTCTATCAGAGAAATTAAGCCCGGCCAACTGGTCAGCTTCGAACGCTCTGACTTCGAGGAGCAGCGAGAAAACATCGGGAAACAAGACGAAGAGGAAGATGGAATATTTGACCACGATTCCCCGAGTGATGATGGTGACATTCCATCTTTGGAACAAGGGGCTGATTTTCACCTCGGAAGAGGTTCCCGCTTCGTAAGAAGTATTCGCTTCAACAGCAGAACTGTGTTCACTTAATTTTTCTTTATTTCCGTTGTTATGGAACCATGGGATTGCCGTCACCTTTTGCGTTTTATGCACTTGTTGAAATCGTTATTCGTTTCTTTGATAATAACCTGTCTGTACTGATACGTTTGTTTGTGGTCAAATTTTAACGGAAGGAAGTCGTTACCGTGACTATAACGTACGTTATTCGTGCAATACCTTTAAAACTTCTAAACTTAATTAACTATATCATCATTTTAGTGAAAAGAGATAACTTACGCCTTAGGGTGACCATAGACTTCAACAGATCAATGGTGGTTGAAAAAATCATCACCCACCGAAAAAGCCCTTCAAGGTTAAGGAAATGGACTAGGGAAAAATTTTGGGGTCGGGATCGGGATTGGTCAGTATAAACCGTCAGGATTAAGGGATTGACAGAAAATTTTAGTCGGGATCTAAGGGGTGATCTCTTAAGTGAAATAAGCCACCAGGCACTCTACTATATTGAGCGTTTAGAGGCAAATAGTGTTAAGGCCCGGCCAAACGCACGCAACATTCCAACGCAACATCTTGCAACACTGTTGCGCGCCGCGTACTGCACACGTTTGGCCGACACTCTGTAGTAACATGTTGCAAGATGTTGGATCAAGTTTGAAAATGGTCAAATTCTTGTCCTAAATTTTTTAATGTTGCAAGATGTTGCGCACGTTTGGCCAGCTCCTTTATAACATCTTACAGCGTATTGCAAGATATTGCGTTGAAATGTTACGTGCGTTTGGCCGGGCCTTTGAGGTTAAAATTTTTATACTTACATGTCACTTTTTGTTTACATTTCTTGCCATAGAAGTTTTCAGCGCACTGACATTTGAAAGTCCTATTACTGGCTATCTCTATACATGTCCCGCCATTTTCACAGGGTTGAAAGCGACAAGGACTCTGTATCACTGGAGGAACAGTGGGCTGTTATCGGGGAAGAGATGAAACAATGTTTTAAAAGATATTTTAAAAGCGTCAATGCGGCAGACAAGAGTTAAAAGTTCGATGAAAAAGGGGGAAAGCAGAAAATGAAAGCAATATTATAATATTAATAGAAGGAAATTCAGTTTCATTTAAGTAGAAGCCTGGTTTTGAACCCAGAATTTAAAATAAGCAGTTTGCATTCGAATATGTCAACATTAAGAAAATTTAGCTTAACCACGTTACTTAAGTCGAGAGGGAGGATGAGAGAGGACCCTGGGAATGAGGTTGAATTTAGTAGTGTAACTGACAATCCTATAGCAACTCGCACATTTCTCCACCGGCTTTCTTGTACCTCGTCGGAGAGTGTATTTACCCGGCTGGTAACATCTCCATTGCATATACAAATCTGAATAAAAACCTTCTTTCTCGGTGTTTGAGACAATTCTGTAATAGTAAGACAATTCTGGTAGGTAAGGATTACGGAATATAATGGGAAGATTCGGGGTTAAAAAGTTGTTACCGCATTACCAAGTGACAAAGAGGTCTATAATTTCCTGTTTACACTCACCACGTTTGTGGTTCCAAACTCAGTTTCCTCACTTCGTTGAATATGATAACTCAAATCGTAATGCACAAACTCC